TAGACAGGAAGGTGGATAAACAGGAAGAAAAGTTAAAAACAAAGCTAGGCACTAAACTAGTTCAGTAGAAGGTTAGATAGCCAAAAGGAAAAGGGGAGAAAGGGCCAATTAACCATGAAGAAAAATAGTCAACGGACTAGGCCAGGCATAAAACCAGATGGCCAGGTATACAGGGAGCCATTAGCCAGTGCTGCTGAGACAATATATAGTAATAGAAAAGCATTATGTGAACAAACATGAATTTTACGGTTTTACCGGTAAAACCGGTATACCTTTTTCTGTTGTTGTTGGTTTTTCACAAATGATGACAAGCTTCTCCTCCGACGAAAAAGCGTTGGGTGATGGGTTACTGACACTTTGCACTCGCCATCCATTCTGGGCCTGGGTTCCTTAACGAAAATCCTTATTTGCCATCGATGCTGCCTTAATGCTTTCTTGCAGTTGTTAATCAGGTTTTATTTTTATTTGCTTTCCTCCCGGTCTTCATGTTCTTTGTTCAATGCCTGATGTCCATGCCCTGGTGTTATCACATGCTTCGTTGCGGTTTTGTTACAGTGCAGACACGCCGTCACGCCTCAGTTCGAAAGTGTTATGTACAAATAAATGAAATTGTAACAAAATGTTTGTAATAGTAGATAAAAATGTTTGTAATAGTAGATAAACTATAGTAGTTGCTGTTATGTCGCCCACCTGCAATAATGTGAAGCGCAACTCATACTTGCCAGGTTGCCTTGACAACGTCGCGCGCACGATTGTTTGCGGAGGGAATATGAATTAAAATTGGCCGCCAATGCCCAATGCTTGGAGGACTTCGCCGCTTCAACGCGCCGCGCAAACTAGCATTCTTGCTTTACATCGCGAAGATTGTTGCTTCACATCGTCGATCGTTTGACATCGTCAATCAAGCCCAATGCACAGGAGGACTATTATAGTGCAAAGAAACTGCTACTAACTGCTGCTCACTACTGCTCACTGAGCAGCAGTGAGCAGCAGTTAGTAGCAGTGAGCAGCAGTGAGCAGCAGTGAGCAGCAGTTAGCATTAGTTTCTTTGTGAATGCCTGTGCACGCGGTATCTGTACGTTACATATACTAATACATGGTTAAACTTAAATGTTTCCACGAACTAGAACTCGGATTCATCTTCTGTGCAGTCCCAAAAAAACTTACTGCCATGACGGTGTTACTAGAGGTGCTTTAATTTAAACAGACGGCTTGAGCTCGCGTGCGACATTAAGCATGATTTGCACGCGTGGCGCATTCCAATGTTCAAACAGCTAGCACGTGGCACAATTCAGCCAATCAGAGTACAGAAATCTGCAAAGTTAAAGTTGCAAACTTTTGATCGGCCCAAAATGACACTTTTCTGGAGATTTGAAGAATAAGATAACTCAAAATCTACGTTGTCTTAAATTTTCCCCCTGGAGGGGGGGGGGACGTTACTTTTACAAAACGAACATGTTGCAAAAAACCGGTCGCTATCTTTTTTACTTATTTATTTAACTTGAACAGTGACAAATTTAAATTTAATTTAAATTTATCACAGATCATAGTAATACTGAAGTGTATGGTGTAGCACAGTTTACCTACCATACTATAAGTTATATCTTGATGCAAGCTAGTAAGGTATCTTGATGCAAGAAAACTATAGTGAAATCCTTTTTTGGACTGCCTTATTTAACTTGAACAGTGACAAATTTTAACTTAATTTAAATTTATCACCGATCATAGTAACAGACTGAAGTGTAGCAAAGTTTAACTACACTTATAAACTACGAGACTACAGCTAGATATATCTTGATACAAGTAAGCAGAAAAGGAGGAATGTAGAGCCCAAATGAAATGAGCACAGCTGTCCTTATATTATAGCTGCCTTACTTCCAGTTCACTAATATTCAGTTCTCTTTAAGTTTAAGTTTTTTGTTTAAGACTCTGGGACGATATTTCAACGGATGATTATTTTTTCATGACTCTCAGTCTCATCCAGACTGTATCCATTTAAGGCACCCGCTCCCTTCTTTGATTTACGATAATTATCGTGAACAAAAGTAGAGTCTGGTATTTTTCATAAATACTGAGGTCTTCTTCCAAACAATTTTAGATCTCTATTACCATGGTTTTTTAGACACCTAAATATGTCGAGTTCCGGTTTTTTTTCCAGCGTCAAATTTTAGCAGCTGGTTCCTTCTTTCCTTTTCATCTTTAAGTTTAACAATAGAATAAAATATTTTGATCTACCTTTTGAACGACTTCTGATACGACTGAATTCTCCTTAAAACACGGTGGTATTTGCCTTAATTTTATCACTATCAGTATCAGGGCTTTAACTTTCAGTCCTGTTCCTTTTACCAGGTTTCAGTCTTTTTAAATATTATTTTCATTTTTATCTGATATCGATTGATATTTGTAAAAAACGTTGAACTATTTAAGTATTGTCATATTCGTATCCTATTGTTTTTATCTAAAAAAACACCAGACCCGCAGCAATGACGAAAGTATTCTGTTTTCTACTAGTGCTAGGACTGATCGCTCTGACTCAGTGTCAGCCGATCAGACGATCAGCTGAACCCCAGCAGAACGGTGAAGAATTTGTTGATTTTGGAAGACGATCAGCTGATCCCCAGCAGAACTGGCAATCAGCTGTGCTCCCCAGTGATCCCGTGTATCCCCATTAGAAGGGTAAGAAGGGGGAATGAACGAATAAGTACAACAGACGTTCATACTTTTTAGTAACCGAAGCTTTAAAAACCATATGTTAATGATACTTGTCTTAAAGAAATGTAGTTGTTCGTTAAGTGACCATAGTTTTAAAAAGTTACATAGAATATTGAGTTTTATTTCTCTTAGCACTTTACTTTTATATCAAAAATAAAATATACTCCTATCTATGTACCTCGACAAGAGTACAGTCAACAGTGTAGCGGGCGTGCTAAATCATTCTACTGTCGAACTTCGAAATTTTTCTAAAAGGGCCCCCGACAGTTGAAACCAACTTCAATAGCTGTATTTTCGGACGCTGATTCCGAATCACCCCCCATGACATAGGGGTAAAAAACTGTCTCGATCACGTGATATGACCGTATAAGTAAGTTTGTCTTATTTCTCGTTGGGGTTAGGGTCTCAGCATATTATGCTTTTGTAAAGCAGGGGAGCATTTTAACCCTATGTCATGCAATTCTGAATCAGCGTCCAAAAATACATCGCGATTCAAGCTGGTTTCAACTGTCGGGGGCCCTTTTAAAACAATCTCGAAAATCGACTGTAGAGTGATTTAGCACGCTCGAGTTCAACACAAATTCAAAATTGGGATAGTTCTTTCATTCAAATTTCTGATTGTTTCTGAATAGACTCAGTGAAGACAAATTCTAACGGAAATAAATAGCTGAATAACGTATCGAAATTTCTACGTAGAAATAGTTTAAAACAACCGCATGCAACGATAACGGACGAATGGCCGACTTAAAATCTAGTACACAAGGCTTAATCATTAATGTCGTTGCGCGTATCTCACCAAATATGGTCATTGTGAGGTCACGCGCATAGCAAAGCATTATTTCTGCAAAGTTATTTTTGTGGCATGCTCCGCGCAGCCCCAAAAACAGTTTTTTGGTAATAACTTTTCAAGTTTGAGAGTTCAAAATTTGCTCCTGGGGAGCCAACACGATTTTAATAAGACGATCATTATGCAAAAAAACCAAAGGTCGCTATCTCTTTTACTTCCGGAGATATAGCTTAGTCGGTAAGGTTTCCTGGGGTGGCACGCGCCTGTCTACTTGTGAAACAACAATAATTATGGAACTAAACTATTTAATTGGTTTTTTATAGTTCTTGATCTTAAGCTTCAAGCTTGCTCGATTGTGCAGTGTGCACCAAGTTGACGTGTACCGTGTCTCAACCAAAATTGAACGGGGAATCGTTTAAGAGGCACCTCGACAAAAGCTACCCACGCTATTTAATTGTGTTTTTTCACGAATAAATAATGAATAAGACAGTAGCGTTTTTGAGCTTGTTAATATTTTCTTTCAAAAGTATATTCCAATTGTGATTTATAGTTATACGAATACATACTACTACACATTATAAATGTTGAAGTAACTACTACTGCGCTTAATCCATTATGATTAACATGTTTGTGTATGGATTTAGTTTTATACTTTAAATTAAAAATAAAATCAAATGCTTATGTTCGCCAAATGAAACAAACTCTGCTTTAACATTAGAGTCTCTCTGCGCTTTTTGTTTTTATTAATCTGAGAAGTGAAAACATATTTCATCTGACACTGAAATTAATTTTATTCTTGGTTGAAATAAGACACGTAATATCAGTTTTCATAAAATGCTGAACATATCCAAAAATTTAAATATCAAATACAACATAATATACCTTCAAAACAATAAGTATAACTCAGCGACGTAAAACAAATTAATCCCTAATCTTACTATATATAAAGCGAGACGATATATATATATGGATCCGTGCCATTTTACTGACACCACGGCATCAACTTTAACGCGACTTTCCGCAAAAACCGTAAAAGATATACGACTGAAACTTTTTTGACTGGGTCAAATGCTTTTATGCTTTTCAAATCAGCATGAAAAAATAAAAAATTGGCCAAGGAATAGGAGTTTTAGAGCCCAAAATTTGGACCCCCAAGTGGTGTCAAAAACGCGAATTAAATAAGTAATAATTATTTTAGTCTCTTGAGTCTTGACACCATTTTAGGGTTATAGGGGTTCCTGCTAGTAAGTGTAATAGGAGCAGGACGGACTTTATTGCAAGTAAGAAAAGTTATGCACGGTGGACGGCCCTTATAATCATGAGCACTCTAATAATAACCGTCCATGAAGAACCTCTAATGTAAATATTTTATGAACAAAATATTAAAATCAAAAGTCAATCAATGTTTGATAATGATATACTATTTGCAACAAATTCTGTGAAATCGAAATCAATGAAATTCAATTAAAAACAAATCTGGTAATCAGCGACTCCAAGCGGTAATGCGGTATTCAATTAAAAGTTTTAATAGTTAGCTTGACTCTTGAATTGAATCTTTCGAATTAATTTAATTTTAATCAAACAATCAAGCATTGATCAGAATACGTCATTAAATAATAAATCTCATGACGTACTTTCCACAATTTTGCCTTTCATTCAAAATATACCAAATATTGCTGTGCTCTGGACCAAACTTCAATACTTCAGTATTCAAGCTTTAAGTTATTTTCTTAATTAGTCCGGTTAGAGTCATCTTAGTCAGCTGCTGTCCGAGTTAGTATCAAGTGTTCTGTGTGGCCCACGTATATAGGACTCCGTGAGCTACTTTTAACGGTGTTTGGTGAAAGTTGAAGACTGTCCACTGATCAGAACAGCTACAGCAGCTATCTTGTAAGCCATCTCCATCACCAGGGTCACATGTAGGCCTTTAAACTGAACCATTCTTATAGATCCTATTACATCTTCTGAAAAAAGAGGTCATATTAGAAATGGATTGGTCAGGCAATTCATTCATTTGATATCATGACGATTAAATAGGCAATCGCGATAACTATTATAGCAAACTAGTTTTTGTTTAAATATATATAAGAAAATATATAAATAACTAAATAACATTTCCAAATATATATATATCTATTTCTTAATTTCTCTATAAAAGTAAAACTTACCACAAGAATTGTTATCAACAGGCGAGTGCTGGCTCAGTTTTGAGAAAATTGAGCAGGGTTCAGATGCTTGGAACATGTGTAGTTGTGATGACGTTGCCAGAGTAACTGGTGATAACTGTTTGCTCGAAGAAACGTGTTGCTTCGCAAGATGTCGCAAGCTTTCAACTGCTTTCAGTGTATTTGGATTCACCTGAAATTTGTATGGTTAGTTACCGCCACAGCAACAACAGAGAAAACGATAAAAACTGTTTTATTCAAATTCGATCGTTAAACTTCGGGCACCAAAGTACCTATCATGTTCCGTCAACGCTAAGTTACAAGAGCTTATATGCTAAATTCTTATGAGAATTTGTACCTGAAAAGCAGTTGTGCAGTGTTGTTTTAGATGTTTTCTCTTGGAGGACACGTGACTGAAAGTCTTCCCGCACGCTTCACATCCGTACGGTTTTTCGCCTGTGTGGATCCGTTTGTGCTGCTTTAAGTTACTGGACACGGAGAACTGTTTACCACAACCCGGAACTGGACAACTGGAGGGAGGGTTGGTGTTAGGTTTTCAGTCTCTGAGCTCACCTTTTCTCGAGGACAATACCCATTACGTAATTATTTGTTCCCCTTATAAAATATGATGCTATCAAATAATAACTTCGAATGAAATGACGTAAATCCCTGTGTGAGTAATCAGTATATTACGAGTTCGGAATTTCCTGTAAGCATACATAATACGGTAATGCGTGCAGGGATGCAAAATTTGAGCGGGAAATTTATGTCACATCGATTTCCAATTCACGATTGTAGGAAAAATCCACGTGAAAATTAAAAAATGCTCACCTGGGTCCTGGAAGTAAAGGAAAGTGAAAGCAAAATAAATAGCTCACCTGAAAGGCTTCTCCCCTGTGTGGATCCGCTTGTGTCTTTTTAAGTTTGCACTATCTGCAAACACTTTATAACAGTCCACATAGTCACACTTGTACGGCCTGAAGGATAGCTTGTTAAATTTAAATAACTTACTAACATTTTAACGCAGGTTGAAATAACAGCTAATAGTAAATGTAAAATTAGCAGAACAGAATTGATATATTGACAAATCTTATTCATTATATTACATTTCATTTACTGGCAGGCAGCCAATATTTTATCTTTTTTGATAGGTAAGGACAAGGTAACTTTGATTTTTTTTAAATGTGCGTGCCAATTAGAGTAACTAGATGTTTTTGAATTTGTTTGTTTTTTATGAATACAATGCTAGCAAGTATTCCAAATAAAATTCTGAGAAAGCAACTTTCTACTTAGATTCCGCACCCATATTTGATCATAAAGCAGTTCAGCTGCCAGTGCAGCAGTGACACTGCCATTTACTTATAATGCATCACTCACGTCACGAAACTCATGAAGTTAAGTGCAGTTTAAAATATAAAAGCATGTACAAATTAAAAGCCAAAAGGCAAGAGGCAAGAATTGGTATATTTTGCTGTTAATGGTATAAATAGGTAGATAGCAAAAGCTGTGGATATCAAATTTAAATTTGTGGTTAATGCTAAAAGCTGTATATAAATATTATATATATATATACAACTTTATATAATATATAATATATATATTGAATTTCTTGGTACGAGATTCCCGGAACCACCGAGTTCCAAGAAATCGCTCAAATATTGTTCTCAATTCAGACGAGACAGGAAAACCCCAATTTTCCGTACAGTTTATATGGGGAGAGGGATATAGTACGGTAAATTGGGTGAACTGTAAATTTAAGTTTTGAGTCCATGTCAGGTCACCTGGTCACATGGTTTGAGGTTTCGGTTTCTCTCCGCGCAGAATTGGTACCCAAGCACACATAGTTTATCATTATGTAATAAGCACCATGAGTTGGCACAGAATTTGTTTCCTCCGATTTTGATAAATTTGTTACCAAAAGTTCAACTTTTGAAAAGTTGTCTCAAACCGGTAATAAAACATTACCATGCACCGTTTATAGCAATTTTCGCTAAAAATGCTGCACGGCGTTTGTTTGCCGCGCGTGCTTTTTTTGCGCGAATGTTTAGTTTTAATTGGCCTATAACTTTCACAGTTTCAGTTATTTTGAAATAATTGCCATAGCGCGCCTTCGGCGGCACGCGCTTCGCGCGCGGAAAGTGGCATGCAACGTATGTCAACGCCGTCGTAATCAGCTCAGCGAGACGAAACTTTTAGTATCAATATTTTAAGATTTAAAAGAACATTATTTTCAAATTTTTTTAATGATAATCTGAACACGATTGTGTAAAATTTTAAACAAAAAAATGTCGCTCAAATATTATAATATACCAAAAGTTGCGTCTGACTTAAATTGACGATGTCAATTCATCTCAGCTCGGCGCGGCACAGTAGCGCATTTCGCCGATCTAGAGAGTCGCTGTGAGAAGCCTCATTGAGTGCGCGGCGCGGCACAGTAACTGGTAACGCATCGCGCTACAACGTCTGACTCTGACTAAGCTCATTACGATCCTGTACAAATTGTTTCAAAATAGTTGATATTGTACTTGTAGTTATAGGCATTTTAAGCAATAAATTATCCATTTTTTGTCCTTTTTACACTCTTGCAATGCACAGGAGGCCCACATATAATACAGCTAATGCTATGTTATCAGGGCGACAAGCTTGGAACTGACTGGAGGGGTATCGTAGTCCCCCAGTATGATAACATAATAACTTAAGCCTGTTTAAATTTTGAGGCCAAAAATGTCGCTGCCAACATTACTGGGCCGCGCTCAGCCTGTCATTCCGCCTAATCTCTATGTTAATGAACATAATAGCCTGGGATCCCCAGGTAATGCCAACATTGTTGTTATGTAAAATTAAGGGTCGAAATATGCTTCTCGTTGGTGATAAATCATAAAATGGAAACCGGTTCAACTTTTTAAGAAGCCCACAAAAAATAAATATTTCGTATTTTAACACTGACCTTTCTCCAGTATGAGTGCGATAGTGGGTCTTGAGATGATCTGACTTTGAGAAGCTCTTGTCGCATCCTTGGAACGTGCATTTCCGTAGCTTCTTCGAACGGACTGGCGACCTTCTTCTGCAGTGGCTTTTTGGACTTTCTCGTTCCGAGCTGAAATTAACATTAGATGTTACAATAATGTATATTCAAAGCTTCAAATTAAACAGTTCAATCGTTTAGAGCTCCAATCCAATCAAAGTTGGATTTGTTATTCTGATCGAGTCAGCACACAGCAGCTTGCAGGCAACACCCGTGATTTCTTAAGGTAGAACTGGGTCGAGTGGTCTGAATCTAGCAATGAAATTGTTTGCAGTGCGATTCACAAGGCCCTTGAATAGTGCCAAATTATATTATAACCATTAACCACGCAAGCTTTATTTCTGGTGTTTTATCGTTCATGTCTATTTGATTGATTGGTTGAGGAGGACTACACCTTGGTAATGGAGTGCATTAAGATATTGAGTTTGACAGTTTCGATCTATCTATATTCACTGATAATACTGCTTTGGCAAACTACATCGCGATTCCTACACAGTCAATGTCAAATACATAGAATAATTTATAGAATATAAAGGTTTTGTAAGGAAACTGGAGGCCACAGCTGGTATTGGGTAAGTTGGTAGGATGCCAAACATTTGTTAGATCGCTGTTTCGCACATTTAGCTGGTACAGTCATACAAGGTGCCACTCCTCTTTTCAGACGGTAGCATTGGTATTTTATGGTATCCAAACAACAATTACATCCAGGTTATGTTAGGGCATATTGAGCATTGTAATTTGTAATTGTAATTGTATGAATATTGAATACATAATATTTGTTTAAGTATAGAAGTTTAAAATATCAGAACTTCAAAACTCACCCGGAACAGCTAGATACGGAGATGGGAGAAGTAAATGATTTGTTACTATTGCAGAACGACTCAGGACTGGAGACAACTCTATCCTGAAACACAAGGAAATATTTTAAAACAAGTCATATTAACAATAACCATGGGTGGCTGAATGGGTCAAAGAATAAATGATGTATAGTATATAGGCAATGAACTTATATTATTATCTCCACATTAGGGAACTAAAAACGTAATTAGGGAACGTAATTAGGGAACGTAATTAGGGAACGTAATTAGGGAACTAAAAACGTAAACAGTGCTTGAGGGGGAGTTAGTTAGGATATCGTCAAAACCAAAAAGTGGTAAAATCCGAATATAATTTAACAATTACCTGTTGCATGATCATTATAACAGAGACTATCGGTTAATTGATTACTTCTAAAAAATAACGTTGCTATTTGACAAAGCTAATAAAGTAGTTGTAACGAAAACGAAAATAGAAGACATTGAGCAAGACTCACCTGAAAGAGCCTTTATACCACCACCCTCTAACAACCCTCTCTCTCCGACTCTAGCCAAATTCTCGGAAAATCGTTCGCTCCCGAGGTTGAATTGCTTCTAAGCATGACGACCAACTCCGAATTCTTGGAAACGTAGACTCGAGCTCTCTCTCTCTCTCTCTTTCTCCATTGCAATCTTCATGACTGGAGCGAGACCTGCGTGAGCTAGCCGTCACATGACCCCACCCTATTCACCATAGCAGCACACGTGACAAAGGTTGAGATGGAGGCCGGCACGTGACCAGATTATAAATGAATGAAAGTCTCTTTTGTTGGAATATTTACGACCATCGATCGCGACCGGCACACGATATATTTTCCGACGTGTTTATTAGGATACTACATACAAATTGAGCTTACTGATAAGGAATTTAAAATTCCACCGAACCTTACATTAATGATGTAGTCATGTAATACTACTAGGACCAGAACCTCGTGTCAAGGAAATTTGTAACAGTGCAGCTCATTATAAGTTAATACCTCAGAAAGGTGTAGATTGCAGCAAAATAAGGGATAATGACTGGTCAGCTTATTTTAGAGTTTACTTTAGTGCAATATGAACCAGCGATTATTCCTTATTTTATGTATTAAATATTTTATAATAAAATTCGCTTAATGCTTTACACAGAAATGAACGGTGTATCAAAGCTCTACGTCAATCTGAGTTACCACTTTTACCACGTTTAACATCAAACATGATCGATAAACACTACCATCAGTGGGGGTATTAGGGTATATGAGCCGGTGCGAACTTACACAGCATTGCAATTTGATTACTATTGCTAAAACTACACACGTACAGTCACAATACCCCGGAAATCCAGAACGTGCGATTCCCAAATTAGATTAAACTTAAGTTGAGGCTAGAGGGCTACATGACTGGGTTCCGCGGTAATTCAGCTCAGCTGCCATTGGTCGAGCTGATAACACCTTGACAGAGCAAATATTCACGACTGGACTTTCCGTGAAATCTGGAGAGAGAACAGGATTATTGAATCACGGTCACACTCACGGGTCACTGTTATCGAAGTTTAAATGTAGACTCCTTGGCCGTCACTAAGTCTAACTTGTCCCTAATATGCAGTCATTTAAAATGCCCTCATGACAAGTATGCGGGGTAGTTTTTCATAATTTGAAATATAATACGGTTTTGAGCGGTTTTGGCGAAAATTTGGACCACGTACACCAGACTTCTCGTTGCAGTATGGGTCTGTATGGGGTCGTTCACATATTATGTAATCACTTTTTGGCCCATTTTTAACCCTCCGTAATCAGTTCTAGTTTTACTGGGCCGCGCTCAGCCTGTCATTCCGCCGAATCTCTATGTAAATGTTAATGAACATGATAGCCTGAGGTCCCCAGGTAATTATAGTTCTACACATAGCTAGTGTGTCAAAATTACACTAGCGTAATTATTTCGAAAGCCCCCCCCCCCCCCCCCCCCCCTGGCTGATTACGTATTATGTGAACGACCCCTATCACTATCAGTGCATTTTTGGTAGGGATTTCTAGAAAAGGCTATGTACAATCAAAAGTTAGGAAAGTGAATTTCATGGAAGATGCCGGTCATTGTACCCTACTTTCCGGGGTTCGGCCCCTTTTACTCTGAAGCGGGCTACTCAGCATGCCATTTTACGAAATTATCAGATATCTTTCCCTCTAAAATTACATTTAGACACGTGAAATGTAAAATGGGCATATTTGAGATTAAACTCGAACTCAGATTACGAAAATAAATTAGACAATCTCGTAACGTAACAGTGTTAAAATTCATCGTATATTACAACAGTCGAATTCAATTTTTACATCAAAGTTAAGTTAATCTTTTGGTACTGCACTAATCCCAGCTTAACCATACCGAAATATTAAGAAAATTTGAAACAAAATGTTTGTTTCTGAAAATTAATTGAATGTCAAAACAAAAATCTAGGGTGAAATAAAATATTTAAGGAATAGCCAGAATAAAATATTGGCTATAATCTAAAAATGATATTTTTAGCGGAATTTACAAAAAATTCAAATATAGCATCAAATTATTTTTGGAAATTGACATATAAGATCTTAGCACATATATTTCTAGATTCTGCAAACTCTATTCAATTGTGCGATTCTATAGGGCCAGCCTGAGACAAAACGGAGTACAAAATATTCTTTAAAGTAATAAATATAATTAAAACCGGGAGTGGTTCTGAAGGGGCAGGCGCGAAACAACATCACATCGAATCATTACCAAATATTAAAACACTCTAAAAACTCTAATATAATTTGGAGGGTGGTTTAGATTTGGTACAACGTCCCCCGCAGAATGAGAGCAGAATTAGGAGACATATAGAGAAGCCTATGTAAGCTAACAACTCGTGTTTATATTTGCTGGATTCTATTGAACGGTAGATGTCGTCCACCATCTCCAACGCAGAATCGTACCTGTGAAATTATTATCATCAGTTTCGTGGTATTTAAGTTATCAATGTCAGGTCACTGTTATCGAAGTTTAAATGTAGACTCCTTGGCCGTCACTAAGTCTAACATGTCCCTAATATGACAAGTATGTGGGGTAGTTTTTCATAATTTGAAATATAATACGGTTTTGAGCGGTTTTGGCGAAAATTTGTACCACGTACACCAGACTTCTCGTTACAGTATGGGTCTGTATGGGGTCGTTCACATATTATGTTATCACTTTTTGGCCCATTTTTAACCCTCCGTAATCAGTTCTAGTTTTACTGGGCCGCGCTCAGCCTGTCATTCCGCCGAATCTCTATGTTAATGAACATGATAGCCTGAGGTCCCCAGGTAAGTTTAGTTCTACACATAGCTAGTGTGTCAAAATTACACTAGCGTAATTATTTGGAAAGCCCCCCCCCCCCCCCCCCTGGCTGATTACGTATTATGTGAACGACCCCTATCACTATCAGTGCATTTTTGGTAGGGATTTCTAGAAAAGGCTATGTACAATCAAAAGTTAGGAAAGTGAATTTCATGGAAGATGCCGGTCATTGTACCCTACTTTCCGGGGTTCGGCCCCTTTTACTCTGAAGTGGGCTACTCAGCATCCCATTTTCACGAAATTATCAGATATCTTTCCCTCTAAAATTACATTTAGACACGTGAAATGTAAAATGGGCATATTTGAGATTAAACTCGAACCCAGATTACGAAAATAAATTAGACAATCTCGTAACGTAACAGTGTTAAAATTCATCGTATATTACAACAGTCGAATTCAATTTTTACATCAAAGTCAAGTTAATCTTTTGGTACTGCACTAATCCCAGCTTAACCATACCGAAATATTAAGAAAATTTGAAACAAAATGTTTGTTTCTGAAAATTAATTGAATGTCAAAACATAGAAAATCTAGGGTGAAATAAAATATTTAAGGAATAGCCAGAATAAAATATTGGCTATAATCTAAAAATGATATTTTTAGCGGAATTTACAAAAAAATTTCAAATATAGCATCACATTATTTTAGGAAATTGACATATAAGATCTTAGCACATATATTTCTAGATTCTGCAAACTCTATTCAATTGTGCGATTCTATAGGGCCAGCCTGAGACAAAACGGAGTACAAAATATTCTTTAAAGTAATAAATATAATTAAAACCGGGAGTGGTTCTGAAGGGGCAGGCGCGAAACAACATCACATCGAATCATTACCAAATATTAAAACACTCTAAAAACTCTAATATAATTTGGAGGGTGGTTTAGATTTGGTACAACGTCCCCCGCAGAATGAGAGCAGAATTAGGAGACATATAGAGAAGCCTATGTAAGCTAACAACTCGTGTTTATATTTGCTGGATTCTATTGAACGGTAGATGTCGTCCACCATCTCCAACGCAGAATCGTACCTGTGAAATTATTATCATCAGTTTCGTGGTATTTAAGTTATCAATGTCAGGTCGTAGGTATCACAAGAAATCAGAAGACCTTCGAAACAGAAAATACGTCTCTTACTAAGGAGAGTATTTTTTGTATCAGAAGACTCGTTTGTTTTTTCGGAGAGGTAAGAACAGTAAATTGAAAGGTACATTGTACATTTTACATTGTACATTGTACATTGTAAAGGTATATTGTACATTGTAAAGGTACATTGTACACTGTACATTGTAAAGGTAACTCACTGTTTAGCCCTCTCGTACGCATTGGACCACATCTGTACCCTTGATTTGAGCATGCTCCCGCAGGTTGGAGTCAGAGCATTAGGGTCTCTAGCCTGATTTGACTGAAATATAGAGTGTTGCAAAATCACGTACATCTAAAGCTTTTAATAAGCTTTTAGGCTCTATCAAGAAATCTTAAATCCGGGAATATCAAGAGCCTTTAATGCTCTCATTCATTTCAGAGAAATGTTTGACACAGCTGACCCACAAGATTCACTAGTTTGAGGTAGCGTGTGGAGGTTCAATAACGAATTTGAAGAGGTGGATAAAATATCATTTCCACGAATCCCTCTGGCCTCTTATGATAAGGAGGTAGCTGTCAATAATTTAATGGAAATGGTGTTATATCTTGATGTCGCTGACAAAGCAACATTTACTGATATCGCAAGTCTTAAAGGTGCTTAGAGTGACATCATTTCTAATCTGTTTTTATGAGTACATCTTTTACAATTATAGCAACCATTAAAGAAATAGTAGCCCATGCATTTCAGGGATCACATTGTTCGGTATTGCGGGTCTAGAGAAAGTAATTCTTGCCGCTCGGACTGGTTGCAGGTTTATGTTTGTAACATACATATAATATCATGTGATATGACAGTCCTACACTACTATACTGAAGACTCACCTACACTACACGAGTAGAATAATAATTACCACAAGTTCAATCTAAAGTACATGATATTAACCTGAAGGCACTCTATAATCTAAAGTACATGATATTAACCTGAAGGCACTCTATAATCTAAAATACATGATATTAACCTGAAGGCACTCTATAATCTAAAATACATGATATTAACCTGGAGGCACTCTATAATCTAAAATACATGATATTAACCTGAAGGCACTCTATAATCTAAAGTACATGATATTAACCTGAAGGCACTCTATAATCTAAAGTACATGATACTAACCTGAAGGCACTCTATAATCTAAAGTACATGATATTAACCTGAAGGCACTCTATAATCTAAAGTACATGATATTAACCTGAAGGAACTCTATAATCTAAAGTACATGATATTAACCTGAAGGCACTCTATAATCTAAAGTACATGATATTAACCTGAAGGCACTCTATAATCTAAAGTACATGATATTAACCTGAAGGCACTCTATAATCTAAAGTACATGATATTAACCTGAAGGCACTCTATAATTTAAAATACATGATATTAACCTGAAGGCACTCTATAATCTAAAGTACATGATATTAACCTGAAGGCACTCTATAATCTAAAGTACATGATATTAACCTGAAGGCACTCTATAATCTAAAGTACATGATATTAACCTGAAGGCACTCTATAATCTAAAGTACATGATATTAACCTGAAGGAACTCTATAATCTAAAGTACATGATATTAACCTGAAGGCACTCTATAATCTAAAGTACATGATATTAATCTGAAGGCACTCTATAATCTAAAGTACATGATATTAACCTGAAGGCACTCTATAATCTAAAGTACACGATATTAACCTGAAGGCACTCTATAATCTAAAGTACATGATATTTACCTGAAGGCACTCTATAATCTAAAGTACATGATATTAACCTGAAGGCACTCTATAATCTAAAGTACATGATAATAACCTGAAGGCACTCTATAATCTAAAGTACATGATATTAACCTGAAGGCACTCTATAATCTAAAGTACATGATAATAACCTGAAGGCACTCTACAATCTAAAGTACATGATATTAACCTGAAGGCACTCTATAATCTAAAGTACATGATATTAACCTGAAGGCACTCTATAATCTAAAGTACATGATATTAACCTGAAGGCACTCTATAATCTAAAGTACATGATATTAACCTGAAGGCACTCTATAATCTAAAGTACATGATATTAACCTGAAGGCACTCTATAATCTAAAGTACATGATATTAACCTGAAGGAACTCTATAATCTAAAATACATGATATTAACCTGAAGGCACTCTATAATCTAAAGTACATGATATTAACCTGAAGGCACTCTATAATCTAAAATACATGATATTAACCTGAAGGCACTCTATAATCTGGCCCTTGCCAGGCAGCACACGTCCGCACAGATACCCGATATCTTTCTGGCAAGCTCTCATTAACAGCGCATCCAGGTGAACGTCCCCGTGAGCCTCTGTGATCAGTCGGACCACCTGTTTTGTGCAGTCTTCTGATTGTACAACCATTATGTAGTCTCGCAAGCAGGCTTCTACCTGGGAGAGATATTTGTTCGAGTTTACTGGCGACATATTAACTGTATTGGAAGTATTTCTTAGTATTAGGGGTGATAAATATATAACGTACCTGCCACCTGGCAAATCGTTTAGCAAATCATCAACCAACCAAAATGGTTACATCTTACATGTAAATTAAAGAGTTATCGAGTGCACTTCTAAACGTCACAATTTTTCCGGGAATTTCTTGAACCGGATGGGTGCTCAATGCTAACAGATTGAGGCATAGCGTGAGATTCAGTCGGCAGGAATCAAATTTAATCATGTGATAGAGTGATAGGTGTTTTAACTGTAATACTTTAAAGGAATAATCACTAATCGATATTGACTGTTTTAAGAGTTTTAAAATTTTAATATTTTACCTGGTCATCAGGTACATCCGGACAGGATGCCTCAATATCATCAGCACAGAATCTGCTCAAAACGGGGTCTAATTTGTAATCAACCACTTCTTGCTCTAATATGGTTGTCATGGAATCCCCACATTCTATTGAGATCTTATCGAAGTTGTCTTTAAGACATGATATCACTGCTCCTCTTCCATCCTGTATGGTTCCCTTCTTTATTCCCTCGAGAGTGCTCTTGCAGAACATCTTTATATCGTCTTTACAGGACTGCAATGTTTGGTTATTCATAACAAGAGAAATTGGAATCAAGAAATGAGACAGAAAGTATCTCATTTCTTTAATCTTAAATTATCTAATTAGAAAACCATTACACTACAACGTAATTTCATGACGGATGAATTAATACAGCAGCAAAAATGTCACCAACCTTCCTTAGTCCAATGTTGAGTAAGTAATTAGAATGTTCCTTCAGCATGCGAAGTCTAAGTGTAGTCTTACAATCGTGGGTAACTCCACTCTTGTGTTGATTGTTTTCAAGACATGACAACAGTTCGTCTCCTTTACTGAAATAGTGTGTTTGTTATTTTAACATTACCGGACTGCAATCAAAGGAAAAATACAGACTGTCACGTTCGTTCTAAAAAGGCTGATATATACAATACCTTAGTTCCCAAAAATTTGTGTGCCATTATATTGAGCACAATTTATTTGAGCCCGAAAAATTTGGGCAGAAAATTTGAACTCATTTGGGCGACCGAAAATTTGGGCACAAATTCTTCGAAAAATGAACGATTTTCCACTAAAATTTCAGTTAGATATTTGCCTTAGTTCATTATTATTCCTTATTATTCCAGTCATTTTGCTTTCAATTTTAAGCATGTAGGTGGTAGTCTGAGTTGTTTCACATTATGAAATTTACGATCTGCCCAGTAACTACTAAAAAATACAGTGATGATGGCACAGTACAAAATGATAGATGGGTATACATTATACAATAGTGATATTTAGTCTCTCAATCAGATAGTTTAGTCTACTTACACTCAGCATAATATCTTATCATACCCCTTTCACATACAATTATCATTATGACGCCTTTCACCAGATGGTCGAAAGGTTTGGAAGAAAATTAGAAGGTTTACATCATGATCTATCAAACTAAGCGGCACATACGCTTAGCTTTGGGGGAAACAAAGGTGTACATAATTGTGTGTAGCGATTAGCGAACTACTTTAAACCCGGACCAAAGGTCAAGTCTAATTTTAAATAATCAGACATATAGTAGCTGTTAGCTATTCCGGTTATTTCTATTCATTTAAAATATAAGCCTTTTTACTTGGTCAAGCCATGAATGACAGATTAGAAAACTAAAATTTCAAATATTATTTCACTTGGATATGAAGAAAAAGCCATCTTTCTATAGATTTCAGGGCCACAGGCCAAGTGCCAAAAGTTTGGTTAGCAAAAAATTTAGCAGACGGAAAAGATTTATGCAATTAATTTGGTCTGCAAAAAATTTGGGCGAGAGGCCCGCTCAAATTTTTTGTCGCCCAAATTTTCGGGAATTAAGGTATACATCTTCTGTCTATTTTTTAAATTCAATTGCTGGACCATTAAAAATAGGGCTATCGCTCAGGAGATTATTGTATCTACATTAGCACTCAACTATTACATTGCAATGGACATTGAATGTACCGTGTACCAAAAAGGGTATTTTTATTGCAATAAAATCATATTAAATATTCTCTTGACCTTCGTGGCAAGATCTCGTCTTCATTGCAATAAGTTAGGAGGGTTAGCTTAATCGACTTAGCTTCGTTGAGGTAGGTAAGCTACGTAATACTGAACAAGCTAGTTCGGCTTGGTCAGCTAGCTAGATGGCTAGTATAGCGCGCGCTTATTCATTAATAATGTACATATAATATAATTAATGCGCGCAACGCAATTTAATGCAATGCAGCGTATTGCGTATGCATGCATGCATGCATATATGGCCGCGCACATATGGTACGTAGTCATAACTGTTACTTGATACGAAATATTTTCTTCGCGCGTTCCATAAAATCGCTAAGACGAGATCTAAAGCCCCTAAATTAGATTAAGGATTCTTGTGCGATCGCCACGTCACACAAAAAGCAGCATGTGCCACCGAATCTATCTTAGCACGCTTGCTGGAAAGTAGAACGTTAATGGTACATAAAGAGCCATTAAGCACTGCAGGAGTATGAGACACAATGACACAGGCTCTACATTATTGACCTGAATACCACTTAGTTACTCACTGTAAAGACAGAGGTCAAAACAGACGAATATAAATGCAATTTTTGTCATACGTGGAATTTACTTTAAATTGCGAGTAACCTTTGTTCAACTTACAAAGACAGAACATGTAGTACATTATTTACTTTTTCTGTGCGCTAAATTTAGAATGATCACAACAAACACAGATCTCAGAATGCAATATCATATATTGTGAATACCTGTCGGAACAATATTTGCTGATGGCGACGGAACAACTTTTCTGCAAAACTGGGTCAATGTCAGGATCTTCAGCTTGTTGAACTTCTCTAACAAATACTTTCTGAAAGAGATTAATATTGGAAAATCGAAACTACTTGATATTATATTATCTTATGATATCAAAACCAACTTAAAACTTTAACATCATCTGACATGTTTAATATCAGATATTAAAACTCACATCTTTGCAGCTGGGTGTAAGTTTTAACTCGTTTTTCCTCAAACATTCCATAACTTGAGTTTTGTCATCAAATCCATCCAACCGGCAGGTATCTTTAAGGTCCACAGCACATGCAGTCAACAGTTGGGGGTCCAGATCAAGGTCTGACATCTGAAATTTAATTGTAGATTTAAAAAGATTTCACTTGTTGGGGAGGTGATGTACATTTACTTTTAAAATGTAAAGATGGAGGGTGGTAGCTTCAGAAGGTATGGCAGCATCTTCCCAAATTTGGTCTAATTTATTCTAACTTAAGGAGCAACATTTGTTCTAAACACCCGTTCAATTCAAAGTTCAATTATTTTCGTCTCCTAACTAAACTCTTAACTAAACTCTTAACTAAACTCTTAACTAAACTCTTAACTAAACTCCCCCATGACTATTGACTATGGCCTTGACGTCTTGAGGAAAATTAAGATATGGTGGTTTCAAAAGCAAAGCACTAAGTAATATACTCCATTGGATGTAATATGTGGTGTTATAATGTTATTTGCCCGGTATCACTGAAATAAACGTAACTTGGACATATTCTGGCACCTCAGAAAGTATGTTAGTGGCCTGCCGTTAAATATATTCATTAACTCTTATAGCACACCGAAATAGAGATAATTTATTAACAGATAGTCCCATAAATTTCTATTCTTACCATAACTATAACTTAACATTTCCTGTCCTGAGATCAGGGTGCAATATTAAATATTAAACTATTTTCACAACTGCAATTAAATACATTTACTGAGGAGCGATGTAGCAGAGTCGAGATATTTTAATGCAGCCATGGGGTGGCAAGTCCCCATTCATCGCAGTCCTATAGTTGTTCTGCCTCTCAATATACTAATATATACAAATAGTTAAAACACTGAAAGATAGAAACCTGTTTCAAGAATTCTGCCCGGAGTTGATTTTTACACTCATCAGAGATGGGTTCCTTGTTTTTGGGGGTAGGTTGGGTCAGCTGGTTCCTCAGACAGTACATCACATCTTGCCTGGGCGAGTTTAAAAAGTCAGACTTAATAGTTAATAATAGTTAATATTAGTACTATGTTAACAGTAGTACACTACAATGTAGATTTACTGAAGGGGTAACCTAGTAAGATTCTCGATCTTTAAGCAGGTACCCCTCCTCATTTAACCCTAAATCAAGTTTCCTATCATTCGGCTGAGTAGACCGAGGAGATCGCATAGATCCAATGGAACCTTAGCTACTCCCTAGACCGGAGCTTACAGGTGCAATACGTATTACAGCCCACATAGGAGCTCTTTTAAGGGCTATACAGGAGTACTTTTAAACGGTCTTATAGTGGTAGCTAAGTGCAATGGGCGCTCTTTGTCATACCTCTGGTTACACTGTTTATATGGCAGCCACACTTAGCCATTACCACTCAAAGTGGTTCTGGAATAGCCCGAATTGGAACTCTACTGCATTATATAATTTCCGTACTGAATGCTTCACATTTAATCTTACAAATGTAAGTTTAGTAGAAGTAAGATCTATAGTCTACACAATATTTACTTCCTGATTTGGAGTTTGTTTGTGTTCAGTGGTACACGTCAGTGCTTTACAGTTTACATGTTTTTCTTACGGTTCTTTCTTCTGTAAACATTCTACACATTCTACAAATTCATCACATACTACGTTTTGTTATGACTTTTCATCTAATATAATATTGTATTAACTGCATACATGTTAGTACAATTAAAATACCATTTGCATACGTCATAAGTCATAACAGTACACGCTATAAAATAGGAAGAAAATTAAGGACACTAAAAGAGGACAGTGTACCACGTACTATGTCACTCAGATCTAGTTTTAAAACTATTGTTCTATTCTGTTACATTGATTGGGAGTCCCTAACACACTAACACAGTGTCTAACATGGTTTCACTATAAACCAATAATAATGTCACCTAAATTCCTACTAATTATCTCATCCGCCAGAATGTACACGTGTGTAAGAGTCAGGCCACTAATTGTCACTCCTCTCATTAATTTCACAATTAGCAGTTAGTCGGAGCTCAGCTGGGTGCTAGCACTTAGCACCTAGCACTTAGCAGGTAGCACCTAGCACTTAGCAGGAAGCACTTAGCACCTAGCACCTAGCACCTAGCACTTAGCAGGTAGCACCTAGCACCTAGCACTTAACAGGTAGCACCTAGCACCTAGCACTTAACAGGTAGCACCTAGCACTTAGCACTTAGCACCTAGCATTTAGCAGGTACAGTGATTGTTATAAATGTAGAGGGTGGCAAATTTATATCGCTAATACGTGTCCCTTGAGGATCAAATTTAGCGAAACTGTCATCAAATTAATTATCTAGTGTAAATCATTTAGCGAAACTGTCATCAAATTAATTATCTAGTGTAAATCATTTGCGTGTACCTCAAACTGTCATCAAATTAATTATCTAGTGTAAATCATTTGCGTGTACCACAAACTGTCATCAAATTAATTATCTAGTGTAAATCATTTGCGTGTACCACAAAGAGTAAACTAATTATAGAATCCGATAATTTGGAGACCGAGCTATACAAATAAAGTTATAAAACTATGCGAGTGCTCATAGCAACTCTGCGAGTGCTCATAGCAACTATGCGAGTGCTCATAGCAACGACGTATGATTAGAAGTAGTAAAGTTATAAAACTATGCGAGTGCTCATAGCAACGACGTATGATTAGAAGTAGTAAAGTAGTATGACTGCGTTCTCGTAATAATGTAGTAAATTTTCAATATGTTTTTAAACAGCTCTACTTTATAAATAAGTTATCTAATAACCAGGCTATTATTATTCGCGGTTAATAATGAAGAGTATTTTATCAGAGGTGTAATCAGAACAGAATAAACTTTAGAATAACGAAGTAGCTGGGATAGCTAACATAAAACTGTATATAATAGCTTTATATATTATAATGATCCTGGATCTAAGTAGCGAGTAGCTCTGTGTAAAAAAAACCAACAAAAAAACATGAAACTAACTTGATTTCGCGACCATAATCAGAACAGAATAAACTTTACAATAACGAAAAAATTAGGTGGGATAGCTAACATGATGAAACTAACTTTTTCTTGATTTCTCGACCATAGTCATCAGCCTTACAGTAAGTCTGCACCGCCCCGCTACACATCATCAGAAAGTCGTTGTTAAACTTGTAGTCGAATAGAGACACTAGCTGTAAGTCTTTAACATGTTTCAAACAGGATCCTGGAATGTGTTTATTGTTAGTTGGTATGTACAATGGGGAAATTGGTAGATCACCGACCGGCTATAAGCCTGTTATAAGCCGGCTATAAACCGGCTTATAGCCGGCTACAATTTTTATAGCCGGCTATAAGCCGGCTTATAGCCGGTTAGTAGCCGCTTACATTTGTTGTTGAGCGACGGCTATTAGCCGGTTATAAGCCGGCTATTAGCCGTTTAGGTATCGGCTATAAGAAATTCAGTGAAAACGGCTATTAGCCGGTTATAAGCCGGCTATTAGCCGTTTAGGTATCGGCTATAAGAAATTCAGTGAAAACGGCTATTAGCCGGTTATAAGCCGGCTATTAGCCGTTTAGGTATCGAAAGTGGTTATAAGCCGGCTATAAGCCGGTTATAAGATATTAACTCAACTTCATCGTACTGAACGATAGTCAGGAGCCGGCTATAAGAAATTCAGCGAAAACGGCTATTAGCCGTTTAGGTATCGAAAGTGGTTATAAGCCGGCTATGAGCCGGCTATAAGATATTAACTTACTGAAATGAGTTAATATCTTATAACCGGCTTATAGCCGGCTTATAACCACTTTCGAAACCTAAACGGCTAATAGCCGGCTTATAACCGGCTAATAGCCGTCTTCACTGAATTTCTTATAGCCGGCTCCTGACTATCGTTCAGTACGATGTAGTTGAGTTAATATCTTATAACCGGCTTATAGCCGGCTTATAGCCGGCTTATAACCACTTTTAATACCAAAACGGCTAATAGCAGGCTTATAACCGGCTAATAGCCGTCGCTCAACAACAAATGTAAGCGGCTACTAACCGGCTATAAGCCGGCTTATAGCCGGCTATAAAAATTGTAGCCGGCTATAAGCCGGCTTATAGCCGGTTAGTAGCCGGCTTATAGCCGGTCGGTGATCTACCAACTGGCCGTACAATGTATGGTATATAATATGTAGTATGTAGTGTGTATGGTATGTAGTATGTAGTATGTAGTATGTAGTGTGTCTAATATGCAGTATGTAGTATGTAGTATGTAGTGTGTAGTGTGAGGTATGTAGTATGTAGTATGTAGTATGTAGTATGTAGTATGTAGTATGTAGTATGTAGTATGTAGTATGCAGTATGTAGTATGTAGTATGTAGTATGTAGTATGTAGTATGTAGTGTGTCTAATATGCAGTATGTAGTATGTAGTATGTAGTGTGTAGTGTGAGGTATGTAGTATGTAGTATGTAGTATGTAGTATGTAGTATGTAGTATGTAGTATGTAGTATGTAGTATGTAGTATGTAGTATGTAGTGTGTCTAGTATGTAGTATGTAGTATGTAGTATGTAGTATGTAGTATGTAGTATGTAGTATGTAGTATGTAGTATGTAGTATGTAGTATGTCTAGTATGCAGTATGTAGTATGTAGTATGTAGTATGTAGTATGTAGTATGTAGTGTGTATGGTAACATGTACTGTGTAGTGAGTATGGTATGTATGGTATGTATGGTAGTAAAGTGGTTATGGTAGTGGTACAACAAAAGGTTTGATTATTGTTAGTTGGTATGTACTATGTAGTATGTATGGTATATAGTATGTAGTATGTAGTGTGTATGGTATGTACTGTATAGTGTGTATGTTATGTATGGTATAATAGTAGTGGTTATGGTAGTCGTACTTCACTCCAACCAAGGTTTGATTCCTGATGGGACTAACAAATAAACGCACCTCCACACTTAAACTACGGGGCGCTACATAGTTAGAAAAGAATTGGAAAATATGTGGATAAACTCGTAATGTGAAGTGTTTCACTGCAGAAATATGTGTACTAGCAGGTTTATTGCTGTCTGAACATGTTATGAAATACACATTCAAAAGTACCGTAGTTGGATATTATCTAATTTAATCTCCATCTAAACACGTACTACTAATACGTGTCTATTTACAAAAGGTGTGATTGTTTTAAAGATATTACCTTTAAGAGTTGGCTTCTGATCCTCAAGGCAACCCAATAAGTTGCCGTGGTACTTGTCTCTCATTTCACTCTTACAGTTCCGGCTGATTGGCTCTTTGCAGGCTTTCATTAATCTAAAAATGATAGAAATGATTAATGAATACATGGTTTGTTAAAGGACGTGTCTATCTTAATAATGCAGTAATATTGAACTTTATAGGCTGACACCTAGCAGTTTTATGTCACATTTAAAGTTAACCAGTGTGCAGTGCCTCCCAGCTGTAGCATTACCTGTAATCGTTCCTGACATCTTCAGAGACCAGCTTAGCGTGGTGTAGTATGTAGTGTGTCTAGTATGCAGTATGTAGTATGTAGTATGTAGTATGTAGTATGTAGCATTACCTGTAATCGTTCCTGACATCTTCAGAGACCAGCTTAGCGTGGTGTAGTATGTAGTGTGTCTAGTATGCAGTATGTAGTATGTAGTATGTAGTATGTAGTATGTAGTATGTAGCATTACCTGTAATCGTTCCTGACATCTTCAGAGACCAGCTTAGCGTGGTGTAGTATGTAGTGTGTCTAGTATGCAGTATGTAGTATGTAGTATGTAGTATGTAGTATGTAGCATTACCTGTAATCGTTCCTGACATCTTCAGAGACCATCTTAGCGTGGTGTTCCATCTCTTTAGCGCAGTTTGGGCTCAGCTTCTCACCGTGGTTGGGTCCATCTCCCATCAGTAAGCGTTGCTGTAGAATGTAGTACAGTTAATAATATTATCTCTACACAAAAAATAAAATTACCATGAAACTTCAAGCACAAGAAGTGTAACATTGTTGATATATCCACAACTAAAGTAAACAATCCAGAAAGTTCCTGGTGTACCTGGAGACATCCCCAGTCGTCCTTATCTTTCTCATATCCAGCACAGTACGTGACGAGATCCTCAGCACAGGAGGAAACCACAGATGGGGACAGGTTGACACTTTCACCTTGTGCGATTATTGTCGCTTTAACTCGGGCAAACACTTGGTCGACAGCTGGGAGATCATGGGGTTTAGAATAAAGTTTTTTTGACATTTTTTAAGACAATTCTATTTTGAAAAATGTGGTGGAAAAAATGTAGGTAAACCTTTGATAATCTGTTTCATGAGACGTTGAGACACCCTATAGTGTGAAGTTGATGATAGTATTGATAATCTATACTATATTTTAAACTTGACGAAATCCCCCTGAAAATTGACCAAAAACCGACCCTTTTTTTGTGGCCAATTTCAGCTCGCAAATGGAGTTGGAACCTCGCGATTTTTAACAGGGTTGTAGAAAAAGGATAAGAATAGGACACTGCATTCTTAAAATTTTGATTTAGGCTTTAGTTCATTTATAATTAACGTCGGATGTGAGGAAAGATTTGCGATAGAATAATGGCGTAATTTCATCAAAGGTTAACTACGTCGTCATGCTTAAATTAATGATACGTCATGACTAGCTCACATTTACGCTCATGCTATAACTCCTTAACTATTCATAACTTTGGTTGTGATCGATGTTTTTCGATACGGTAAAAAGTATAATTTATGGAATCCAAATACTTACAACGTTGTCGTCATCGTCAAATAAAATCCATGCTTCCTACAGTACAGAGAAGAGAGCTAGATGATGAATAGAAATTAAAACATAACTTATTTTTGAAATTTCCTCGAACAAAGCTTTCGACTAGCGGGTTTCACTTTCTAGTGATAACCTCTCCTTAACATTTTAAATAAAAACTAAAAAAGGTCAAGTTAACTTGTACCACTTACCCATGCTTTACATGTTTTAGTATTTCTACAATATGGTCTACGACTTTTACACAGCATAATACCCCATGATGTCGCTTATTTTAAATTCTATTTGCTGTATTGTATAATGTATATTATGTACTATTTGTAAAAGTTTCAAATCAACAAACTGACCTTCTCGTTGCTATCAGAGAAGATGTGATGATACAGACACGAGATAACAGCCCCGTGAGGCTTGTGCTCTAACTTCTCTTCCTCCTCCAACTCTGTCATACACAACTTCTGTGCGTCTTCTCGACACGCGTTTAACAGGGGCTTGTCCAATCTGATTTGATTAATTGATTATTCTCGTTTTCTAACACTTTATATGGCACTACAAACTGAGAGATTTCTCGAGCGATTCAGGGAAACGGGTGATTCCTCGGTATTGCCATGGCCATGATTGTTTCCAACTTTCCAAGAATTCGAGGAATGACAGCTTGAGAAGTGAGATCGTTGGTATTGTCCCCCAGAACAGTTCGATTAAATCTCATTATTGTAATATTATCTAATACCTGGTATCAAACTTAACCATGAGAAATATGTTGGGTCCTGTGATATTGGATCACCTTGATTAAACTTACTTTATGGAACGAGACATGAAGTACTTATAGCTGAGAACTTGCTGGTGGCACTCAACGTTAAACTCCACTTCCAGTTCCAGATCAATCAAACACTTCATTACTTCCCCTTCGCCTGATAATAATATTATTATAAATCTGACACGGTTCAGAGACTCGAAAGGGGGAAGATGGCGTCATTTTTGTGGAAAAAAAATGCGAAAATCTGATAACCTTTTTTAGCAATTTTTCGGCCAAAGAAAATATAAATTTTGGGCACATACGGATTACGGGTATATGCCTCACAGAATGGCTAGCCTCACAGAATGGCCAAATTTGTAAATGTTTTTGTAACTAATTTTTTATATAAGACTGGTAGGTTTTGTGGATACCATATGAAACAAAAGTCTTCTGGCAACACTTCCTGTGGTGAAATCATTAACTAGGACCACATTTTCTGACATAAACAGTCGTATTTATGTTTTCAAATTTTTGAACTAAGTTTGCATTTTGGTGAGAACTTCTGGCACCAGTATGACAGAAGATGTTTAAAGAATAGTATTCATCAAACAAAACGAACATTGTTCAATATAGGAAGAAAAAAATGCTAAAATGGCTACACGCCTCACAAAATGGCCAAAATATGCCTCACAAAATGGCCAAAATTTAAAACTCCTTTTATTGATGTAGACATGTTAGTTTTGATGGTCTAAAGTATTCACAAGCTATTTATCATACAATAATACCCCAATCTAGCCGAATGGAGGTTATAAATCATGAAATCAGGGAATATGAAGAACGCCTCACAAAAAAATGCTAAAATGGCTACACGCCTCACAAAATGGCCAAAATATGCCTCACAAAATGGCCAAAATTTAAAACTCCTTTTATTGTTGTAGACATGTTAGTTTTGATGGTCTAAAGTATTCACAAGCTATTTATCATACAATAACACCCCAATCATGAAATCAGGGAATATGAACAACACCTCACAAAATGGCCATTTTTGGTGTAGGAAATTATGCCCTTTTTATTCAGTTCTAAGAAATTTCACCTATATGGGGGTGTTAACAAGGCATATTTATACCAGCAGCATGCCTGAAACAAGAGCCAAAGGTTTTAGAAAAATAAAATTTTCTCGTTTTCTTTTTTTTTGGCCATTCATTTTGTGAGGCATTTTTTTTTGTGAAATAATATTTCACAGCTCAGTTTTTTCGTGAGTTTTAGGTTATTAGGTTATTACCCCATTCCTTAATAGGTTTTCTAACAACGTGTGGTGATAGAAATTTAAAAAGTATCTCCATCAAAAAATTATAGAAATTCAGATTTGGCCATTCTGTGGGGCATGTTTTTTTGGAGGAAGATTTTCCGGCCAATTTTTCTCAAAGAAAAAATGGTTATGAGATTAAATCAACCCCCGGGAAGAAAAATATGAGTGTCAATCTCATTAAACTATATAAAAAATAAGTATAAAGAATAAGGAAAGGGAACGGGAATGAAGCCAATACCAGAAGTGAAACCCCACCAAAGAATAATTGATCCTTAGGTAGACCTGGTGAAATAAAGTAACTGAACTGTAAGTTTAAGAAAAGACGGAAGGAATAAAGGAGAGAGGAAATAATGTTATGTGAACATCATCAGCAGATGACTTGGCACACCGGTTTCGGGGGTTTAATACCTGTACCGGTTTAATGTGCCAAGACCCCCTAGCAATCACTCGTCAGTGATCACCTGTTCACGTTAAATGTGATGTCAAGGATGTCGCTGACATCAAGTATACTGTATTTGTACAGAATACTAGGTCGGTCCTTCAGAAGCTTTCTGAATTTACTCTTCAGGAGTCTGTCATTATAACATCTTGAAAGAAGTGTCCTATAAAGGGTGTTGGTAGAACACAGAAAAGAATCAAGGTCAGAGATAATGGAAGAGTAACGAAGGACCTGACCGTAAAAAACATTATAACCAACAGAAGAGGAAATATTACTGTTAGGAAAGGTGTACATGACCACAGGAAAGTTGAAGTCATCAAGTTTGTTGTAAAGCTTGGTGGCGACGTGTCCGGAGTTATTCATCGAGATGTTGATGTCGAGATAGTTTACGGACTTATTGTCGTCACCACTCCTCTCCATAAGCAGGTCAGGTGGATAAATGGACCTGATTAGGTTAGAGAAATGCAAATAGTTCATGGTGTTGAGGTCGTCGACATATCTGCAGTTTCTTGAGAGGAGCTTAGCGAGACCGAACTTCTTTTCTTTGATAAGGCGTGTCATGTAATTGAATTCACACTTCCCTAGCGAAAGATCAGCGAACTGGCTACTAGAATTCCCTCCCATGGGAATGCCTTTCGTTTGTCTTAAAATCTGATCCCCAAAACAAACAAAAGTGTTAAACAGAATAAATGTAATAGCTGTTTTGAGTTTATCAGCAGAAAAACATAAGTATCCGTTATATTCCTTTTTAGAGAAAAAATTGTTGTTCTTATACAGAGAAACACAAATAAATTTATTCGTATTACTAAAGAGGAGATCTATTAGCTCGAAAAGCAGTGACTGTACAACCTGAAGGTCTAGATTGGTATACAGAGTGGTAAAGTCGTATACCTGCATATTAAAAATCTCTAGTCTAGGCAGCCTTTCCAGGAACTGTTTAGAGCTGTTAATGCTCCAGTCGCAGTTAATTCCAGTATTGTTGTAGATAGAGTTGCAGTATTTGGAAAAGTATTCTTTTAAAACTTTTAAAGCTTTGTTGACTACAACTGATATCTGCTTAGTGGTACATTTACTGGCCCCAGCTATAAATCTAGACTTATAAGGATTCTTGTGAAGTTTAGGAATCCAAAAGATTCTCGGTAGACAAAGGTTGTCCTCAGAAACACGAATATTAAAGTTATCTTTAATGAAGTTCACATGTTCCTGAATAATATCATCCTCTACAGAGTTAACCGGATGATAAGTAGAATTGCCACGACACTCTAGAGAAGTGAGATCGTAGCCAAGTTCGTTGAGAAGGGTTAAAAGATAAAACTTCTTGCAGACAAAAACATAATTATTTGAAGCTTTATCTACGGAGCAAATAATAAAAGAAGAAGAAAGACTGTCGAGATAAGATTTAACATCATCCCTTTGTAGAATGGAATTTTAGGGAGTGAAGTTATTAGGGGAGGAGGAGAGGAAGTTAAGGCGATTGGTGAAGATCCGGGAGACCTCATCTTTCCAACTTAGCTTCTTATGAGATAAAAACTGGAATAAAGTGTGTTTTGTGATTTTGAGTGACCTTCCTTTTTTTGGCCATTCTGTGAGGCATATTATACCCGTATATGTCTTTTTTCCATTTGCAAAAACATTACACCGAATTAAATGTAATTTTTGGGATGAATAGCGATCAGACACTTAAAGGCTACTTATCTATTGGGTATGTTGATTGTTGACCAATCAAGTGATTAGAGTTGAAATTAGTACAGTAAAATAAGTTAATATTTGACTTTAAGCTCAAAATAACGAGAGTGATGGTAATAGCTCGCAATAAACCACGAATTGGGAGGTTGCGTATCAAGACAACCAGATATTTCTAGCACACTATGTATTACACTGCTAACGATTTTGCGCGATTATTAATCATCCTAACGATAAGGAATTTAATTCCCACACTTCCAAGAGTTCTCCAATACCCACTCGACTATTAATTACACAGTACACACAGCGTTACACTATTCACATACCTAGTTCCATATCACAGTGCCCGTCTACGTACTACACTACACACAGCGTTACACTATTCACATACCTAGTTCCATATCACAGTGCCCGTCTACGTACTACACTACACACAGCGTTACACTATTCACATACCTAGTTCCATATCACAGTGCCCGTCTACGTACTACACTACACACAGCGTTACACTATTCACATACCTAGTTCCATATCACAGTGCCCGTCTACGTACTCCCCACAATTGTCCATGAGAGCAAAGTTGAGCTTGTAATCAGAGATAGGGTCCACTGTCTCCATGAACACTCCAACTGATTCACGGCATTCTGGTGCTAAACCTCCCTGGTCTGGTGTCTTCCTGTAGATTCAGGCAGTGTGTTATATATTTAAAGTCACTATTGTGACGGTACATTAGAACTAGACAGAAACAAAGTGCGAAGGGCCTGAACGGAACCCCTCTGTTTCAGTTCCGTGTTTAACACTGCCGTACAGCTGCAAGGACATCCATATCGTGTTTGTAATTGTATAGGAATTCAGTATATATGAATTCAGTATAGGAATTAGGAATTGAGTATAGGAATTGAGTATAGGAATTGAACTGAACGATCAATAACCAGGATGTCAGTAGTTTGATATTTTAACCTGATTATATTATAATATACCAAAACCTTCTTCACAACTGACAACAGCGGAAGAGATAGATAGATTAAAGGTAGATTAAAGGTAGATTAAAGGTAGATTAAAGGTAGATTAAAGGTAGATTAAAGGTAGATTAAAAGTAGATTAAAGGTAAATTAAAGGTTGATATTAAAGGTTGATATTAAAGGTATATTAAAGGTAGATTAAAGGTATATTAAAGGTATATTAAAGCTTTAAAGGTAGATTAAAGGTAGATTAAAGGTAGATTAAAGGTATATTAAAGGTAGATTAAAGGTAGATTAAAGGTATATTAAAGGTAGATTAAAGGTTGATATTAAAAAACACTAACGGAGCAAGAGCCAGCAGACAGTTGATAACAGCTCCCTCCTTGTTTTTAGGTAGATTAGCACAGTGTTTCTGTACATCATTGTGACAGTCAACTCCGAGCTTCGGTGAGAGCTCTATATCTCCCATTATCATCTTCTTTACCTGTCAGATAATTCCATTAAAAGAGCTGATAGTCAATGGTGTGATGTCCATTGTCCAATGTAAATGGGTAACATGTACATTACTTCCATTTGAGATGAATGAGGAAGATTTGTGGGCCGTATGTTCGAATGCATGTGGCTTTTTCTCCTTGTTCTTGGGACAGACAGACGGCTCATTTCACTTTAATTTGAGTAACGAAAAGGTTAGCTTTAGTCGATGAAGAAGTGAACAACGAAGTGAACAACACTGGTATAAAATTTAACACAATAAAACAAGAAGAATCCCTTCATAAAACTGATGGCAAATGTAAAATGTTGAAAAATAATCCTAACTTCCATGCTCAATTATTTCAACAAGTCTCATTCTTTCTAACCAGTGAAGCAAATTAAACATATCATCATATTCATCTAAATGCAATGTTCCCATGACACCAGGTATCAGTATAACCGAGCAATAAACTCTAGCTCTTGACATGGCTAAATAAAGAATGCCAATGTCCATAAGGGGACACGACGTCATTTCATGCACCAAAATTACTGCTGGCCACTCAGCAGATGAAATGCCCGTGAAATAAGCCCATCTGTAAGTTTGATAGTTCGTATCCATCATTTTGTGTACATGTTGCAAAATTTCTTTTGGAAAAAACGTACCAAAATAATGCATAATGCCACCAATTATCATAGAATCAGAACTATGCAGCGCCTTTTCATTGTTTAATCTATTCACTTCTTTATCAAAAATATGTGTAACCAAATCATGATCACGACAATAAAATGTATGTATCATGGTCTTCGGGCCATGGATGTAATGTCCGGCCGCTTGCTTCATTTTAATTAATGTCATTGCAAATTTCTTACAATCATCAGACATGGTTTGTAGTCCACGGCCACAACGGAGAAAAACATTTTTTACAAGGTGATTTCGAAAATGATCTCTTATGTACAATAAGGAACATGACATATCATATGTATTTCTCAAGTTAATGTCAATGGTAATACATTTCTCTTCACACAGTAGCATGTCGAATTGAAGTACGGTACGATATGACTCGTTTTGCATACCCATTGGAATAATTGCAAACATCTGGAGAACATCAAAAGCTAGCCAAACATGATTCGAAGTTGAAATCTGCGATAAAATGTTCATGAAATAACTGCACTCTTCTTCAAAGGTTGCCCGACTCATATCTGAAAGGGCACATTGGGTATCGTCTATAAAGATATCACATCCATTCTGTAAACTGAGAATTTCTGTAAGCCAACGCCTAGTAATGCCATCATTCATGTTGGTTAAACTCGCCACCTGCACAATAATCACCTTTGCAGTTGTGTTAAATCTAGCCCGAGATATTAAACTAGAGAGCCCCAAAACCGTGCATTCGTCAGGAGGAATCAAAACTGCGTATGGTATATTAGCTTTTTTTAAAGGATCCTTATAGAGTCTTGACGCTTGTTGCTCGTTAGGATAGGTCATTTCTTGATAGAAACTGAAAAGAATGACTTGATCGCTTTTCTTTGACAACACCAGCTCTATTATTTTGGCAATCAGTATAATACTTTTACCCCCACCTGCAGGTCCCTCAATCCACAACAGTTTTTTGTTTGAAGTGTAAACCTCCCACTGTTGCTTCGTCAGATTCTCTATCCCTAAAAAGTCTTTAAAAATATCAGGCGCTGGAACAACATTAGGATTGTTCTTCCTAAAGGTGAACTGTCCACGTTGCAATTTTTCGTCAATATCCTTGATACATCTGCCCACACTACATTTTTCTTTATCGTGTGTGTCCTTCTCCGTGCACCATATCGCGAGAAGCATGCTTCTAACTTTCTTGTGTCCAGAGGACAATTCACTGTTGTGAAGTTCCGGTTCATTCAAGATAAAATCACTCACATTTTCCTGCCACCACGAGGTGATGTTCTCTATATCTTCTTTGAACATTATCGATGCTTTTTCAGCCTGACTTAGCTGGAATTCGTCTTCATACTTTCTGCTGAAATTAGGGTAAGCAGTAAACTCAAAGAAAGTCAGGTTCTTTTCCATACTTTCTATAAGCTGTTTTATCTTACCTCTCTGCTTGACAGATTTCCTGAATGTCCCAGAAAGAGCTCTTTGGTCTGTTTGGCACCCAGTTTCATACGTCATGTTTTTTACTTCAATCACAGCGATATAGTTCAGACCAATGATCAGAAAGTCGCACTCTCCATCTTTGTCAGCAGCCCTTTTACATTTCACGCATCCCTTCCTAACATGGTCCTTATCACATAACCTATACTGATGATGTGTAAACTCAAAATCATGTAACACAACCATTTTCTCTTTCACCACCTCCAAAGCTCTATATACTTGAACCTCGGCCTCATAGTTCGTTTGATGCTGTATGTCATCCTTGAAACTGGGGCCAGGTTCATCTTCGCTTGGGTAGACGTCGATGTACTTCTGTTGTGGAGCTCTTGGCAACATGACAGGACGCTTCTCCTCTGATGAACAGTAGGTATTGTAGACATCTTCACCATTTAGTAAATATCTGTTGTATTGAGCCATCGTCCAAATTTCCAGTAAAGGATACTACTTCAGCGTATACGAGGTATACAGCGCAACATATTCAATCCACAATTAGACTGAACAAGCGTCGTGGTTCTCCTACTTGTCATGAGACATGCCTATACTAAAATATACAATTCAGCTGGTTAGAACCTTAAAATGAGGTAAACACAATATAGTGGTGATGATTTACTGAAAATGGTGTGCAGATAGAGCTCACACAATTCACTAGTTCAGTGCAGTAGCTACAACCAAATGAACAGCTTCCTTCTTTTTTTTAAACACTTCCAATATTATCAAGGGCACAAAATTCAATTCAGGGGAGTAACTCAGTGATTTTTTTAAAAAGGAAGTAAGTCAGCTTGGCAGTCAAATTTGGGGAGCTTTTCTACACTTCCGCATGAAGTTGTGTGATAACCGCTTACAGTACAATCAAAAGCTTGGTCACATCTAAAAATTTGGACAATTATCTGTGATATAGAACCCCTAACTAAGGCATCTCACTGACGCGAAAGTTGAATTAAATCTCAAAACGGCAAAAAGTGACTTACTTCCCTTTTTAAAAAAAGGGCAGTATACTAGATTCAAATGGTGCTATACAAACAAACCAACAAGCTCACTAAATAACACACTCGATACTGGACCTATGGAAATATGTGGCAAGTTTTCAACAAATAACACACTGTTGTCTCAATGTGAGAAGTGACTGTGTAGAGTGTAGACCTCATTGAATAGCTGAACATAACATAATGATAAGGTCATAACGTGCAAACCAGGCACGGAAACTCAATTAACTCAATATGGTTCCAATGAGATGAGTTAAAATGGGAGGCTCAGGCAATGGCCCTGCTAAATTCTCATTTATTTGTAGGATTTGTGTGATCCTATTTTTTTTTCAGCATTTTCGAATGAAGCAGAAAATACATGATTTTTAAATTTTAGAAGTTATAAACAGTTGCAGCAGTACAGAAAATTCAAATGACCTGTTAGGAAATCATACCTTTCTTGAATATTAACCGGATATTGAAGCCGGATATCCGGCCGGAGCCGGATTCAGCCGGATGATATCCGGTTGGTTCCTAGTTGTGATCCTGTTGTAAGTATTTACGGATGTGTTCTATTAACAACTCAATGACAATCTAATACACAAGTCTTAAAGTTGCCCATAATACCACTTTATCCCCACTTACCCGTCCAACTTCTCTCATGCACTTCTCAGTTACAGGCACCCTCCTTTTGTCCTTCATCTCGTCTATCTCAGTGAGACACTGCATCAGCAGTACTGTCCTCATGAATCCCTCCTGGAGTCGCTTAGTTCTGCAAAGTTATTAGGGGAACTTAAGCCTAAGGTTTACTTGTACAACTTGGATGAGACGTTTAGGGAAGTTT